TGCAATCTTTGATGACTTCAAAGACCACATTGCAAAGACTGCTCGATCAGGTTTGCATTGCACAACATCAGAAAGATCAGGCCCTTTCTAATGGAGCATGCTGCACAACTTCTTGTCCAGGCCCTTGTCATTTTTTAAGCGACTCATCTCTTTCAACGCTACTTGACTTCATCCTAAATAATAATAATAAAAAAACTTTGTCTTTCTCTTTATTTATTCCTTCCCTTTCTAGCTTGACCTTATTTGAACAATGCCTAAAACTTGGAATTACGAGCACTTCTTCCTCTTTAAGAATAATCGATTTATGTATTCCCCAATTGTAAGTCCCTTTGGATAAAAGTGTCTGCAAAATGACTAAATGTAAATGTAATCTGACATTACTTCAACCATATTTCAACTTTAAAGGTCACTCATTTGCGGTCTGGGTGGGAAAAGCCAATTAAATTTCATTAGGTGAAACTATTGAGATATCAAATATATGTGCTTTTTGGATGGATCTACACTGTTATGTACAAAAAGAAGCCAAAAACGAAGTGGTCAGCAGCATGTAAATAACAATGTGAGACACTGGAGAGCTGTCCTTTGCAGAGAGCCAAAGGCTCAGTTAAATCTTTTATTGACATCAGACAATGAGTAAAAGCCACACTTTCACACAGCGCCCATTGTGGCGGGTTTTACAGGCTTTTCTAAATCCACAGGCGGCCAGTGACATGAAACAAAAGAGATGGGCTGCGCCTCTTGTCACTGGTTAAACTGGCATGTGGTGGTGGTCAGACAACAGTCTTGACCACTCAGAAAAGAGGAGCACATCAGGACAGAAGACCAGCCTCTGTTCAGCATCAGCACAGAAAATTTGACCTCCAAATCAAAGAATGGATAGGTCACAACAACAAACCAATGCATCGCTTCTTGTGCTTTTTTTCAAGAGCATGTCAACCAAAATTAGAAAAGTCCACAAAGTGCATCTAATGCGTTTAACACAACAATTACTTCTTGAATGTCATGGTGCTGTAAAACTCAATGCATCACAGTCTCATTGCCAATGTGAAAGAGACTTTAGACCTACTTAGGTTTCAAAAACTTCAGTTTAAAGGGACAGTTCACCCCAAAATGAATATTTTGTCATCATTTACTTACCCTTAAGTTATTCCAAACCTGTCCGAGGTCATTTTTTCCTGCACAAAAGACGATATTTTGAAGAATGTTGGTAACCAAACAGTTAGCCACTGAATTTCATAGTACGGGAAAAAATATATATATTCGGAAGTCAATAGCTGTCAGCACCTGTTTGGTTACCAACATTCTTCAAAATATCGTCTTTTGTGCAGGAAAAAAGAACCTCGGACAGGTTTGGAATAACTTGAGGGTGAGTAAATGACAGAATTTTCATTTTTCTGAACTATTTACTATTTTCAGAACTAAGTCCTCAGGCATGTTCTTTAAACCTTTGAAAGTTTTGTGAAGTACATCTTAAAGCATCTTTATATTCAGCTGCAGAGAGATACAAAAAAGCAACAGAATCACTGATGATTGAGCTGATGTAGAAAAACTAGAGTAAAAAAAAACAGAAACAGTTAATTTTTTTTGGAAACAGATGTAAGTGCAGTTGCCACAAATGAAAGATTTGTGGGGAGTGTTTTACACAGAGCATTTCCATGCACAAAACACACCAACAGATGCAACCATACTCACAAAACCGTCTAAAAACATCAGTTCTCATGACTCATCGCAAGATCTAATCTGTGTTTGGCCTTCACTTACCTTCTGTTCCTGGACAATTACGGATGTTTATCTCTAATCCCACAACTGCAGGTCAGATGTTTGGCCTTTGCTATTTCTTATTCGGAGATCAGATACAGAAATCAAGAGAAAGCGAAAAAGCTGAAGCCCTAGACAGGCCGGTCTGAGCACGGGACTCTGTTTGTTCCCAGGCATTGTGATCGGAGCTGTTTGTCCAATAAAAAAGGCAAACAATCACATTCCATAGCTTGCAACTGTATTCAGGGCTCAACTTCACAAAAGTACAGCGGGGCACCGAGATATCGCACCTCAAACAAAACAACCATCGCACTGAGGTTTGCCCAGATATGTGGGTGAAGATTACCATATCTACAGTATCCACACACAAACACAAACACACACACACACACACACACACACTCAGGTTGGTTTTTGTGAAAAGTGGGGACATCCCATAGGCGTAATGGTTTTTATACTGTACAAACTGTATGTGCTATTGCCCTACACCTACCCTACACCTAAACCTACCCCTCACAGGAAACTTCGTTTGTCTGCTACTGATGTGGTCTTGATTCTTACCTAGACTTGTCTGCCCCGCTGTCAGCCCTGTGAGAAAATCAACAGAATGTTTATCAGTTTAAGGTGCATGGTAAAGCTAGAATACACTACAGGAATTTTCCATCACCAGATTTTTGTCCCAAACTTCAGTCTGCTATTTGCCGAAAGTCAGAATCAGTCTGCGGATTTTCGGCAGTTAAAAAAAAACAAACAAAAAAACAGTGTATGATACTTTTAGCGTCATACTGTGATTCCATCCAGTTGGAGGATATCAAATGTACAAAGTGCTGATATTTAGAGCAGATTTTACAACACATTTTTCATTTGTCACGTCTCCTATGCATGTTTCTGCATTTGGATCGACCTGAAAACATGGTTGTGTGTGAATGATCCTCAGTCGTTTATTGTATGATGCCCTGTTTTTCTCTGTAACTAACTCTGCAACTGCATGATGCCTATAGCGTCTAAAAATGTCTTCAGATTTTAAAAGTCATTTAGTGTATTCCAGGCTTTAGTGTGTTTGATCTTGACAAAGAGATGTATGTATTTTTGTGTCCCCAAAATGTATTTGGATACTTAAAGGGATAGTTCACCCAAAAAAGAAAATTCTGTCATTAATTACTCACCCTCATGTCGTTCTAAACCCGTAAGACCTCCGTTCATCTTCGGAACACAAAGATATTTTTGATGAATTCCGAGAGCTCTCTGACCCTCCCATAGACAGCAATGTAATTACCACGATCAAGGTCCAGAAATGTAGCAAGGAGATCGGTAAAATAATCCATGTGACATCAGGGGTTCATCCGCAATTGTACGAAGTTACGAGAATACTTTTTGTGTGCAAAAGAGAAAAAAAACGACTTTATACGCCGTTTACTTTCAGTAGATATTCTCCAAAATTGCGCTAGGGTGACGCGGAGGAGACGAATTGTTGAATAAAGTCGTTATTTTTTGTTTTCTTTGCGTACAAAAATATTCTTGTAGATTCGTAAAATTACGGTTGAACCCCTGATGTTAATGAGTAATTAATGACAGAATTTTCATTTTTGGGTGAACTAACCCTTTAAACCACAAATAAAAAGGTAAAAACGTCTTTACATTAAATAACAAATTATCAAAACAAGTGGTATTTATTTTTAAAGAAATAATCTGGTAACACTTTACAACAAGGTTAAACTTGTTAGGAACCATCAGCTAACAATGAACAATAATTTTGCATAATTTATAAATCTATATTAATATTAAATTATACATGTACTAACACATTTACAAATCTATTTAAACAAACATTAAAACGATTTATATGATGCAATTACCATGTCTAAATTAGAATGTCGTGGAAAAGTTCATTTATTTCAGTAATTCAACTCAAATTGTGAAACTCGTGTATTAAATAAATTCAGTGCACACAGACTGAAGTAGTTTAAGTCTTTGGTTCTTTTAATTGTGATGATTTTGGCTCACATTTAACAAAAACCCACCAATTCACTATCTAAACAAATTAGAATACTTCATAAGACCAAAA